GTAAACCTATTTTCTACATTATTGACCCAGCAAGCAGGATTATGTTATTAACAATAAAAAGCACTAAGAAAAATATATCCCATTTTCACACTGCGTGTTAATAGAAACAAGCAAAATATAATAGAAAGAGCCTAGAGAAAGAGAGAACTGGGTTATAATCTCTCACTCTCCCATTGTAGGTACTCTTACTTTAATCATTAAATAAAGTGAGGATGTTCTACTTAGAAGATTTTATAGAGATCTCCTGACTTTGAGGAGATATAATCTTTTCCTGTATTGAATTGCTCCTGGTCTCACAAAAATTCAGCAACCCTCAATTAAAGATATATAACTATTTTAAGTTCTCATAATGAACATATTTCTAAATGTCCCCCACATTAAAAGGCATAGAGTGATTGGTTCATGACCTTAAGGTCTGGAAAACTCCAAAGCTATATTAGACCAAGGCTATATTAGGGTTAGCATGGGATTGGAAAATGAAAGGGAAGGAGCACTCCTCAGACTCTTCCTTTGTAAGGCTTGTTTAATATCATATTCTTAAAAATAAATCTTACTATGAGCACCATTAATAGTACTATGAGAAGAAATGTTGAAATTGGGTTTATTTACATTTGGGAAAAACAAGTATGCAGAAATCCCATGCAGTTGCTATCCATTCCTCCCACAAGCCCTGGCCTCAACATGGCCCCCTGAATACAAAACTCAAGTGAGGACCATATATACACAGCATCTGTAGACATCTATTATGTGATCATCTGCTACCAATAGCGGATGATCAGGTAGGACTTGCTTGTGGATTTGTTCAAAGGCTGTGGGCAGGATTCACTTTGGGATGCTTGTCATTAAGGGGCATCATTCAAGTAAGGAACTCAAACAAAATTGCATTATGTGCCTAAATCCCAGTTGTCATCATTACCTTCATCTCTTTTCCCACAGACTATCCCTCCCAATCTCTTTTGATTAACCCTTTGATTGCTCACTATGTCTTCCCACTGTTAATGCAAAGCCATCAACTGGATATTTGTTAAGCATTTATGTAAAGTAAGATGTCACTGGGGCAACATCTTTCGGAAATATAAGACACTGCACTGCTAATATGGGAGATGTCATTCCTCTTCTTTCTCTGGATTTTGTTTTAATATTTTCTTTATTAAACATGACGTTGAACATGACATATTTTGTTCACCTATTATTACCTTACTTGGAGTTTCTGGTATTTTTCTCTGTCCTTATGGGAAGAAGACATCGAAAGCCTTTATTTTCTGGGTACTCTTTATAATTTCTCATTCATCTGTCCTTTACCAGACAATTTTTCACTTTGTTTTTCCAAATTGAAGTTTTCCAAGCTAGAAAGAACATAGCTTGAAGGTCTTCAGAAAGACTAGTGACAGGGTGAATTGGGATCGTGAGTCATCATGCTGCCCAAGAACAAAGTCGACCTTCTGACAAATAGAAAGCAAAAGTAAAGTTTGAGTTCTCAACCGCCATCATCAAAGTCCAGATCGGTGTACAGCATCAGCTATCACACTATCTGTGAGCAAACAAGGGGCATGGTTATAACTCTGCTCTGCAATGGCTGCAGTCTGCTTTCCCTTGCAATGACAACACTAGACGAGAAAAATGGACATGATTCTTAACGCAGTAAGTACATTTTGAGACAAAATTATAAGGATGTATCTTTGGGCAAATAAATTATCATAAGTCTTCTGTATATTAGAACAAAAACGTCTCTTTTAAGATTTTTGATTTCAAATATTTTTTTATTTTCTAAATTAGTGAGGAAACAATTATTGTATTGAGTATATATGTGTAGCACCATAAGTTGTTCCCAGAAAATATCATAAAAACACACCTTCAGTGTGCAAAATCCTTCTATGTTCCAGGGTTGAGGGAGGTTTTTCAACGAATTTGTTACTACTTCTGTGGGTTCCTAACATCCATTCTTCTTACTAGGATACACTTTTAACTTAGACCCAACCAAACAGATAGGCTTGCTATATCAACACATTTATAACCTGATAAGTATAAGTCACTTGGTATCAGGATCATATATATTTAAAGAAATAATATAATTAAAAAAAATAATATCACGTGAATACTCCCCAAAGGAAGACATACTTATAGCCGATTTTGAGCAGGTGACAAGGAGAGTTTCTAATCTGTTAAGAAACCCAGTCATCAAGCCATTCACAGCAAGCAGGTATTTACTTTACAAACCATATATGCTAAAGACCTTGTGCAGAAACTCAAAGTAGACATTACTATTTTCTTAGAAGAGAAAAATAAGTGTCAGAAGAACTGATCAGCATATAAGTGGTAAATTCCCAGTCAATGAGCCCTAAAGGGTTTGCTTTTTTAAACCACACCCTTTCCACATATAAGCCAGCTTTCCTGCCTCACATCAAGGTAGCTTAGATCTTATAAATCATCTATTTCTCAGCTAGACATACTACAGGATGCGGGGGCCTAATTTCGTACAGATGTTGGACTATACCTTCTAATGGAAACTGAGTACTTTAGAGTTGACTGTGACATTAGCAAGCCATTTACCTCCTGAGTAAAAAGCAGATTGTTGATTTAGTCATGTCCTCTACTTGAATCTCAAATCCCAGTTGCCAAAGGAAGCATTTCTGTCTGATGTACTTTCACCTCATTTGGGGCCAGATGGCACACTCTCTGGGACATGGGCAGAACAAGCCTTCAATAAATGTTTGATTGCCACTAGTGACTCATCCTCATGAAAGCAGACACAATAAGGTACATGAAAGAAATGCATCATAGTCAGAACCTGTCTACAATGTGCAGCTGCAATTTGCTTATCTTCAGAAAAGTCTGTAATCTTTTTGGTAGGCACTCTTTGGGTAGGCACTCTTAGGGAAAAAAAAGTTAAGGAAATAATCTACATAGCATATAAAATTGTATTTATCTCCATTATTACCCTTTGTATGAATTTATAGCAAGTTCAAGCTTGAAAAATTCATGAAATGATTACCACATTGACTACAGATACAGAAACTGAGAAGAGCATGTTATCTTCCTTACAGGTTTGAAATCAGCCAATGGTGCAATGAGATGGCTAAGAAAATGCCATCAATACTAAGCTATCGTGATACATACAGAATGTATAGAGCCAACAGAGCCTAATCTGTGTTTTAGGCAATAGATTGTGGCAGAGAAAATAGGGAATGTGAGGCATATTTTTATGGCAGAGAAAAACAACATGCCCTGGTGGGTAAGAAAGACTTCTGGAACAAGCAAAATGAATTTAGAAAAAAAAAATAGCACAGGGCTTACAAAAATAGACTGATTTCTATACCACAGAAAGAAAAATTAGATTCAATTGAAGAGTAGACAAATCATTTCATTTTTTTAAGTTAATTTAGTACAAGTATAAATTTTCTCCAAAGAAAGTTGCTGGACAGTGAGAAAGTGAGAGTTCAATTCATTGTTTCCAGGAGGCAATAGACTAGATATTGAAGTGGAGATACACAATCTACATAAAGTTACCTTTCCAGTAGTTTTAAAGCTAAGCAACTAGGTTATTAGTATAATATTGTCAAGAGAGCTGTTCCAGGTTGGAAAAAAATTCACTATCTAAAATGGATATTCTCCCGTGCTAACACAACTGGCTAAGGGTTGACTTCAGACTTATCAAACTCCAATTTTCACCAACTCAAGATTAAAGTGTTCATGTTATTTACATCATTACTATATCAGGGTAGTTTTCTCCTCTGTCCCCTCTTCTTTCTCTCATGCTGGGGATTGGTCCTAGGGCCTTACACATGCTAGGCGGTCATTCTCTGCTTTATCTGGCCTTCTTCTGTAAAGAGAAAGTATAAGTTTGTACAGCCACGCAGGAAGGAGAAGTGTTTCCATTATAGATATATTTAAAGGTTCAGTCTTTAATAGCAACCACTCATCACTTCTTGGTCACTTGGCTAAGCCTGAGTGTAAAGCAACCACACCTCAAAAATTATTGCATTTGCTGGCGGAAAGAGCAACGAAGCTTAATCCTCAGGTTAGTATATATTTTACAAACAGAGCCCATGCTTTTTTTAAGAGCTAAACAGTCTGCTGTCCCACATTCTTTCTGTATCACTCAGATTTATCTGTACATTAACAATGCTTACCAGCAGATAGCCAAAAAGGCTGGCCAAGTTGGACCAACTTCAAGATTTGTTTCCACACTGGGGTGTTTCATGCACTTGGCAGAAGCAGGCTGCAACTGTAGCTTCATTTATTACATTGGGCTATAAACATCATGTCCTGAGCTAACAAGACACTGCACATGACAGTCCCATAGGTTACCAAGCACTGTAAACACCTGCTAACACAGACGCCAGAGATAGCATAGTCCCGGCCTGCTGTGGCCATTTGAAAGCGGTTTATGAAGTGCAGTCTACTGTTTGAAAACTATAACCAAAAACATTTGCCAGGCAAAGTTAGGCTCACTTTGAAAAAAATATGCAGGAATGCTGTCACTTCGTCACTGCATTTACAAACTTTCGTGTCACACCTTTGCTAATTAAGCATTGGCTTTCTGTGTTATTCAGGGAACTACACCTTCACCATGATATATTTACTCCCAAAAGAAAACGAAGAGGAAAAAAACAAAGAAACCGAAGAGATGTCAAATATTGACTCATCAGTTTTCTCTAGACTAATGTGAAGCCAAAATTTTATAAGGGTGAAAGAAGGCAATGAAGATTGGACAGGGCTTTTTAAACTACAAAAGATAATTGCCCAGAGTCTCTTGGCTAACATACACACTTCTAGTTCATGCAGAGATCTCTTTGGAGGGAAAAAAATGAGTGACTGGAGACCTTTTGGCATGTAATCTCAAAAGAGAGCTTTGCTTTTCTCAATAGGAAAGATAACTATAGCATACACATACATACATTCACAGCATATATAAATATATATAATCTCTGATACCTTGTTTTCTTTATTTTATTTCTATGTAACATTTTAATCTGTGGAAATATTTCAGTAGCTCTCACCTCAAGAATAAAAAGACCCTTTGTATGATCCATATAGAAAGCAGCCTGGACACCAGTTGCTCCTACACATCCAATTTCTGTAGAAAGAGGTAAACACTGACTCAGCCACACTCCTGACTGAGACCGCTTATCCCCTGGACAAAGCACCCTTGGAGGCACACAGATCCACAGCGTATCTGTCCCCATTTCTCAATTTCTGTAACCACACGAGCACACACTAGATGCTTAAATGCTCTCCCGCTCAGCTTTTCTGACAACTCTAGAAACCATTTCCACTCCTCAGACCTTCCAAGGCAGGTGAGTTAAAGTCCAGGAAATCTATTCAGGAACTGTTTCCTCTTCTCAACTCTCTGGCTTCCCACCACAGTACTCCCTCTAAGATCTCCAGGAGCTAGAAACAGCAGGCAGTATCCCAGTGATTTCTTTCTCTCCACATCCTGGCTCAGGAGGCCAACACACCTCTCAGGGCGCTCCTACACACGTGCCTTACACACATAGCACACACACCAACACCAGAGCACGGAACCCTGCAGCCTGGTCCCAGGAGACATACTTCTCGGTGCTATATATAAAGTCCTTGCCCAGAAATAGATTTCCCCACGCACCCACAAGTGGATAGTCCTGTCCTGCACCCACCGCATGCAGCCAGCTCTCTCTTTCCAGACATGCTCCTACCCAACTCACCCGCTCAGCGCTCAAGACTCTGCCGTTCTCTCAGAACTTTGAGCCTGGCTGATTTCATAACCACGAGTGTGTCCAGAGCTGGGACAGTTTGGCTTGCCACAATTTCCACCCGCTGCAGTTCATGGAGACTGGTGGCGGTGACTACTGACTCCACTCCTCTGCTGCCAGCGCACAGCAGCTGCAGCTGGCTCAGACGAGCAGAGGCAGCGCTGCAGGGTCGCGCGCTCACAGCCCACCCTCTGGAGTCCCACGGGTCATTCCACCCGGGAACTTGTTCAGAGAGGAGCCGCAGCAGCAGCCTTCGCAGTCCCTGCCCCAGCTTGGCAGGCTGCCGGTGACAAACACCGTGGTGAAACTTTGAAGACTAACAAAACTGTCTTAGGAGGAAGCCCTCTCTTTGCACCTTTACACCTTTGTTGGAGCAGGCTCCAGGTTTGCCTGCAGCCCCCAATTCCTTGTTGCCCCCATCAACTTTCAGCTTCACATAGCACCAAGAGCAACTTAAACACACACACACACACACACACACACACACACACACACACACACACAATTCCAGGACACAGATCTGGTTACACCAACCCATCAGCAGAAAACAACTTTGAGACTGTAATACAGCCCACCTCAAACCTCAAACTCTCCCCAAAATTATCCGAGCAAATACATAAAAGTGATCCGCATTTTCATTAGCTGTTGGCATGTCCGGGTCTGTTGCCAGGTCTCCTGGCACAAAGTGGGAGAAATAAGAGCTGGGGCGCCCGGGAGTCCCCCTCCAGTACCTCGGAGCTTCGCCTCGGGAGACAGAGCGTGGGTTCGCGTCTGCGTGGGGGCCTCTGGCGCCGAGGCCTCAGGCCCGCGTGGCCCCAGCCCGGGGTCCCCGCGGCCACCGGGGCTCAGCAGCAGCCGTCGCCGCCACCGCCGCTGTAGCAGCCGCCTCTGCCAGTGCCGCCGCTCCCTAGACCGCCTCCTCTTCCCATGGCTGCGCCCTGCTTGGCAGCTCGTGGGCTGTCAGGCTTGGGGAGGAGGAAGGGGGCGGGGTGAAACGGGAAAGGAGGAGGGGAGGGGAGAGGAAGGGAGGGGAGGGGAGGGGTGGGAAAAGGCGGCTGGCGGTCAGATCAGCGAGGGGCCAGCGCTGCCCAACCGAAGGGCAGCGGGAGTTGAGGGCGGCCGGCTCCAGACCCGCGGCTGGAAGGCCGAGCGCCGCCCCCGCTACTCTTTCGGTGGGGCTGGGATGAAGCTTTCTGGCGCGGAGTTGAGAGTTGGTGCGTGTCACTCTGAACTGGACGGAGGGGCTCCTCCTAGAGGAAAATATTGGCATTTGCGGGAGACTTCGTTGCTCTTCAAAGAAGTCAGGATCTAGAAGTCCTCAAGAGCAGGCTATCCATTCAAGGAGAGTAGTGCACCTCCTGCAGATACCAGAAAAAGACACCTTGGGAAGTGTGATGAGTCCACCAGACATTACCCTTAAGTTGGCTCCGATTTTCAAACTCCTGCTCACTGGGATACAGTATAAAGGACCTTCCCAATCTGAGAAGTTAAAAAAAAAAAAAAAAAAAGACAAAGTAGGTAATTTACTAAGAATGCAAGAATGCGTGCATGTTTGCAGAGAGCTGTGTTAGTACAGGGCAAGGGTCTGCCGGAAGAGCTAGAATAGGGCCCAACTTAGGATTTGTCCTTGTTTGGGACTTACGGAAAGACAGTTCATCTATCAGACACAGGCCCTTGCTATCTCATTCCATTCTTGGAAAAATTAATCAAGATAGGAGTTGTCAAATAGTTCCCAAACTCAGAGTGCTACATAAGGATTGCCATGAAACACCAAGCGGCCAGTTACCACTCACTTCTCTAGTCATAGAATACAAAGGTACCAAAGTCCAGTTCCCGGCTGTTGAGCCGTCTTCTATCTGGAGGAGCAACTGGTCATGCGCTCTTTTTACTGTTTACTTTGTACTGACAGCTAGTTTTAATCTCACTTATCTATATAACATTCTTACAGCTTCAGCTTTAGAAAGGAGTCCCCACCCCACACACACCTCTTTCATGTTGCTTTCAGACCTAGAGTCATAGTTAAATGTTTAAGCACTGTAAAAAGAATAAAATACCAATTCCACATTAAGATAACAGATGGGGTGAAAACCTAGGAACACTGGACCGAAATCTCTCAGGCTTCTGTTTTCAAAGTAATTCTACAACTGGAAATGATTTAGCATTCTTCCCAGGATCCCAGATGTGTCTCGGATACCTTATGATTCTAGAATAAAGAAAGGGGGAAATGATATGTATTGTCACTGGAGTATAGGGAGTAGGGGGTGGGGTGGTTAGTGGTCGTGAACTAGTCCTGTTTCACAGGCAGGCTTTCTCTAAGACTCTCCCTCAATCCTTTGATTTCCATGCTTTGAGAGCAGTAGGAGCGCTTACTGACTCTGGAGCTTTTAAAGGGAGAGTCGCCCAAATAGAGAAACCTGAGAAAGGAAACCATGAGGTCAGGCAAAACTCCTGCTGGGTGGTCTGTGTGTGCCAAGCTGGCTGAAAGGGCAGTGCTGACAGGAACGGAGACCAGGCAGTCCTCACACACTGACTTCACTCGGTCCTAGGTGACCTTCCATGGATGCAGTTTGGATTCTGGCAAGACCAACCTATCTCTTTAGGTCCTGTCTGTGCTTTCTCCTCTTTCAACTTCCCTACTCTTCAAGTCCAAATATCCTTGATGTAGTCTAAGAGGTGTCAGATGGACTCACGGAAGATTTTCTAAGTTCTGATCATACTCCTAGATGATTGCAAGGTCATGCTTCAGCTGCAGGCTCCATTCTATGAGGGACGGAAGCAGGTTTCTCTAGATTCTGCTCTGTCTTTGATAGAAATACAGTCAAACATAGACAGCATGTGAGAAGATATGCTGGCTGAAGTAGACATTAAAGAGATAGGTTGTGGTGTAACTTAATGAGGTCTACATCACCTGGGAGAACCTCTGGGCATTTTGTAGGAGACTTTCTAGATTGGGTTAACTGAGATGGGCAGTGTCATTTCAAGGGCTAAGAGCCTGGATGAAATAACAACAATAAATAAATAAATAAATAAATAAATAAATAAACAAATAAATAAATAAATAGGTAAAAGAGGAAGCAAGCTGAGCACAAGCATTCTTCTTTCTCTGCTTCCAGACTGTGGACACAGTCTGGTCTGCTGTGCTGCTCTTCTTGAGCCTGTCTTTCCTCGACACAATGGATTGATCCTCTTCAACCCCAAGCCAAAATAAACCAGGGATGGAGAGATGCTTCAGTTACTAAAGTACTTCCTGTGCAAGTTCTGAGTCCCTACCACTCACAACCAATACCAAACAGTGCTTGGTGGCTTGGTGGTGCACAATCAGCACCGGGAGGCAAAGACAGGTGTAACCCTGGAGTTCACTGGCCAGTCTGTCTAACTTAATTAGAGCTTTCTGGGCCCCCTTGAGAGAGACACCGTCTCACTATACCTGGGAAGGTGGAGAAAGGACATCTGAGAAAAGACATCTGAGATTGACCTCTGGCCTCTACAAACAGGAGCATACATATTTGAATGCCTCCTGCCCCTGTGGATGTGCACACACACCTACATATACACACAAAATTAATTAATTAAAGAAATCAAAACAAGCCCAATTCCTGTAAATTATTTCTTGTCATAACTAATGAAAGATAAAATGTGTAACTTATATGAAGAGCATCCTCTTTGAACTCCAGAAATAAATGTCTCTCAGTCTCATATAGGTCTATAGTAGTGTGTACTCTTTATATTTTCCACTTAGGAAGGCGAAATGTCTCAGGCACTGAAGTGAGTACTTTGTGAGGAATATAATTTACCTTATAAAAAGTGAAGTTGCATTTACTCATGTGCTCTGTTCTGCCTGGAACAGCCTGTTTGTCCACCACAGTCACTTCTCCACCCTCAAGTCCAGCTCTAGTTTATGTTCTCTCTGAAGCTCTTTCTGGATCATGTCAAATCAGAAACTATTTTGTTTTCCCTGTATCTAAACCTTTATACTTACATTTGTTATATGTTGTAATTTTTGCTGATTTGTGCCATTGACTATTAGGAAAACAATATTTTCTTAGTATCTGTACTTGAAATATCTATATTAGTACTTAGCAAATACTAAGGGGTTTCATAAATATTTAGTCATATCTAATGAAAAAATAATCTATAGATGGATATGAATCTTGAATTCATATCCCAAAACTTCATCTGTCCACATATCTCTGGACTAGCAATAAGCCATTGTTATATTTCTTATAGACATCTCAACCCCAATTAGAGTCAAGCCAGAACTCTAATTCCTTTTCCCCGACTATGCTCTAATCACAGCTGTCTCAGTTGCCATCTCATTAGACAGAAACTACTTCTTCCCAGTTACTTATATCACAAGCCTTTACTGTCAACCTTTACCTCATCTTTCTCTCAAACTCTACACTTAGCATCTGTCTACTTCTTAGAGAGGTCAAGAGGCAATCATTCTGAAACATCAGAATTTTACCTTTGTTACTCATAGACATGAGAGACTCAACTGGTCTCCTCCCCTTGCTATTGACAGTCTTGATCCAATGCACAGTCTTGATCGGAAGTCAGGTACAAATTTTTTTTTTTTTTTGAAAACCAAGCCATGCCATCTCTTGGCCTTCTGAGTCTGCATTTGAAATAATATACAAATAAATATGACACATAAATGCACTTCAGCTCTCTACCTCACCCCTATTACCCTTCCCTGAACTGTTTGCTCCAGAACTCCTTCCTTTTTTTCAAACAGACCAGGTAACTTATAAATGGTTCTTGCTATTTCTTCAGCTATAAAAACTTTTCTCTAAATGTTTGCATTCCCTCTTATCTTTGCTCAAATAGTACCTTGACATCGAGTCCTTTCTTGAGCAATTTTTTTCGCTTTATTACAGTGTACCTTCTGTCACCCCTTCCTTATCCCCACCAGAGATATCTTTCTTAATAATTTAAATTTATTTTTTATAATTTATTCACTTTACATTCATTTTTGCCCCTCCCTTGTCTCCTCCCTGTCTCACCCTCTCTCTATCTCTCTTTTCCCCTATTTCCCTCCCCCATTTCTCAGAAGGGGAGAGCCCTTCTCCCCTACCATCTGACCCCAGCCTATTAAATCTCATCAGGACTGCCTGCATAGCTTACTCTGTAGCCTGGCAAGGACCCCCCACCAGGGGGAAGAGATCAAAGAGCAGGCACTAGAGTCTATGTAAGAGATAGCTCCTGCTCCCCTTTCTAGGAAACCCACATGGAGACTGAGCCTGCCTGTTGGCTACATCTGAGCAGGGTGTCTAGGTCCTCTACATGCATGGTTCTTGGTTAGTGCATCAGTATCTGATGGCCTCCCTGGGCCCAGAGTTTTCACCATAGATATCTTAAACAAAACTACACTTCAAAAGACATGATTAGAATTCAGACTAGGTGTATTCAAATTCGGGAAACTATGTCTGGTTTTTGTCTCTCTATTTATAAAGTTGTACATTATAAATGTTCTAAATCTACAGCTATCAGAGAGTAGACTTTTACTTTGGTCATTCTGTAAAGTAATAATGACTTTTATCAAAAGAAAGAAACAAACTCTCAAAGCAGCATTTAAAGAAAAGGTGAGCATTGCTTAAGAACATTGGGGCTTTCGTGGCTCATCTGTGGTCTTGTTAAGCTCACAGTGACTCAACAAGAGAATTGCTGTCTAAGACTGTAGACATAATATTATGTATTGTGTAAAAACTCAAATGCTGATTTCTGTGTCCCCCATATCTGGTTGCAATCCTTATTCTGAGAATCTCCTATCTCAATGTTGTGTAAACACTGTTGCCCATTGCTCCCTGGTATGTCAATAAAGCAGCTTACAGCCAGTGGCCGAGCAGGGGAGAGAATAGGGCTGTACTTCCTGCCAGCCAAGAGATGGGGATAGAGAGGAAGTGGAGATTCAGCCACAAACAGAAGTCCAGGAGACATGAGGAACAGCTGGATCAGAGAAAGCTATAA